CATGAAAGAGGTTAATATTATTCTGGCCTCGTTAGCACCACTTTCATTTCATTATGAACCTTAAGAATGGTTAAAAGGAAAGTGATGATGCTTAGAGTAGGTTTTATCTGTTTGCTAAGTTGGACATTTTGAGGCTTGTGTCACTGGCACTGAGTTACATGTAATTAGGTATCATGCCAAATTATCAAGGGAATGACGTACTTTGAAATTCTAAAGCTACTAGCGTGAGGTATTTCACATCACATGCATCTCCGTTCGCAGGACTCATATTCACCACAATCGCTTTTGGCATCGCCGCTGGAGCTGCCGGTGAACTGGGAAGAGTTTTCATCGACTTCTTTGAGTCTCTTGGCAATACTGTTCTCATTCTCATGCGTTGGTTCTTGCAGTGAGTTTCTTCATACTCATGTTAATAGTTTGGCGTACCTCCTTAGCTTTGAACCTCGTTTATTAATGCTTCAATGGTCATTTCAAATTGATTCACTTTCGCCTGTTAAGCAACTTCTTTCCGTACTAACGGTGATGGTACTTCTAGCGACCTTCAATTAGCAATTGAAATGATACAAATCATTGCAACACCCTTGATTGCAGGATCACACCGGTGGGAGTTTGCTTCATGATTGCGGGATCGGTTGTGGACGTGGATGATGTGGCCGCCACTTTCCAGGGCCTCGGTCTCTTTATGGCTACAGTGCTGGTGGCGTTGGCCATACACATGCTTCTGCAAATGGTTGTCTATGCCCTCGCTTCCTTCCGCAACCCTTTTCGCCTCATGTTAATGGGTTTCAGAGTCTTCCTTTTAACTTTTATCACCACCTCTCCGTGAGTTTATCTATCTCTCTCCCTCCTTGTTTGAAAGAATAGAATGCATTAGCAAGGTGATTTTTGAATGTCACGAGTTAGTTTTAAAACGTACAAAATTCGTGCATACGCATCTCCTTTGATTGTCTTAATTCGTGCGGACCTCATTGCAAAAATGATTATTTCCATTAGAAGCTACAAAAGTAACTTCATCAAAAATTTATCAGTTTTGAACTGATGGTGTAGGAGCTGAAACTGTAGCAAAAAGTGGTCGCCAGTTTCTATTCTCTTAAATCGAATAAATTACAGAAACTAAGAGGGAAACGCTTGATAGAGTACAAATGTATAAAAAGTGTTTCTATGTTCCTCAAGTGATAATGACTGCTAGCATTTATTCTAGATTGATTGCCATTCCTGACATGATTGAGACATGTGATCGCTATGGGCTGCAGAAAAAGA